TTGAAGCTAGGGTCTGTGTTGAAGTCCATGGTCCATGTTGTCACCAAAGGCCACACAGAAGCCTTGGATAGTCGGTGTCCAAGAGCCATGCCACAAATGGTGGATGACTACAAAGAGGCAGTGTTTTCTGAACCCAGAAAGACAGCTGCACGTCTGAACTCACAGCAGTGATGACAACATTTACAAGCCCCTTACAAGCTCATGTCTGACCAAATATGAGCATAGAGAGGGGAGTTGGACATGAAGGCTCACCCATAGCTGAGGCAATGCTGGCAACTGATAGCTCTTTGGAGATCCGACAGTCTGTATTTTTAAGGGCATGGGCTCTGGTTGATGGACCATAGTCCAGCGAAGGACTCTCTGGTATGTTCCTGAGAAGATATGTTAGGCTTCTTACAGTCACTTGAGCAACTAGGAAGAAATATAACAACCATGGGGGTGTGAATCTGGGGCACAGCCTGAAATGTCTACACACGTGTAATGGGATATAGGATAGCTTGGTATCCGCCAAGGGCCCTGGTGTTTTAAAGAATATATTACGAGTGTTCATTCTGCACTTATCACTTCAGTGTTTAATACAATATGTAAAAATGGAAACTATATTACTAAGAGCTACCTGAGAAGAGATGACATGGGTGTGTGGATTTGTGGTGGATATTGTTGCATATGTACATCATGGAAGAGGAAAAATGAAGACTCTAAGAACCAGAAGATTGGGAGAATGGCCACCAAGTCATGACTTCCAGGTATAACACAGCCATTGCAAATGTGAACTATGTAGCCTGCACTGGATGTGTAAATTACTGGCCCTATCATCAGTCCATTATGGGTCAGGTAGGGACTCATGGGTCTCTGATCATGAGCTATTGACTCGTGATGAATTCTGGGTCAAGGAGACTCACTGTCTTAAGTTGCACACCCATCAGTGTACCTGCCAGGTTCCTACAGTTCTAAACACAGGTTCAGATGGACAGTTTTGGTTAAAATTGGTGGGAAATTACAAAAGAAACACAGATAAAGGATTAGGATTTTTAAGGATGAGATAAGAGTTGCTATGGATAGGAGGGAAATAGAAGAGGATGGGATAAGAATAATCAGAGAGAGGTATGTACATGTATGATGTTGTCAACAAACACATCCATTTAATGAAAAAGAAAAATAACTTGTAAAAAGGTGTAATTTGCTCTGCAAAGAGAAGTTCTGTGAATGGATCTAACATCTATGTTTCAGTCAAGTTGGTGATAGAAATCTCATCTTTTCCAAGCCTCAGCTACCTCTGAAGTCCATGTGATGGTGGTAATAGGCCACACTATCAGGAGGTAAATCTGTGCCTCAAATGGTGTTCTGTGGAGAGAAGCTCTCAGTTTCCATATGAATATAAACAATATCTGATGCCTTAAATCAACACTAGACATCAGTGTTACCATGATCCTGTCATGCTGGTATGTTGCTGTTAAAACTCATGCAAACTTCAAAACAATAGATAAAATTCTTGGGGAAGATTATCTCCTTGCCATGCATACAGCCTGGCTTCTTTTTCTTAGCAACAGTGGTTTCTGTCAATTTTCATTTTGCTTAACTGTAAGTGTGCTTTCTTATCAAGATCTTAGTTCATTGTGGGGATTATAATTCCCAAAGAAGTGTGTGAGGAGCTGTTGACAAAAGTATCAGAGCTAAGCTTGTAACTTAGAGCAGATGATCCTTCACACTTTCCAAGTCATGGTCCTCTAGCTAGAGTTTACAGCCTAGTAACAACAGAAACTGGATTGCAAAGGCTGACCAATCTTCACCTTGTTATTTTCTGGAGGAAATGGTTGACAAAATAGGTTCATGGTGACCTGAACTTTCAGCCCAGATAAGATCAGTTACTGAATTTCTGTGGAAGTGTCTTGCTCTGACATTCAGAACTGACTAAATGGGAGAGCATGCCCCGGATGTAGGAGACAGCCAAACCCCAAGGTTTTGATATAATTCATGAAAGTGACCACTCTAAGAACGGTTGAAGCAACTCACCTTCAAACAACCACCTTCAGTGATGCTCCACATGCCCTGTCCAGCAAATCAGAGATTTCCTCTGGTCTCTTTTGTTATTTCGTTTGTGACAGTCTCACAATGTGTACGAGGCTTGTATTGAACTCACAATAATCCTTCTGCCTCAGCATTTTGAGCACTGAGATTACAGCCATGAGCTAGGATTCATCTCACTCCGCTATTCAAACTCAAACTGCATGGATTTCTAGTGTCAGTTCTAAAGACCACTTTAAGAAGAGCAGAAGATGGGGGATGTTCATTTTCTCCCCTCCCTAAAGCTAGAGCCCCTCCCCTCCCACAATTCCTCAGTGTTGCTAGAGGTGTTGGTGAGAGAGAAATGACTTAGTGTGTCACTTTAGATTTAGCTATTTCACCTTGAGACTGACGTTGCCAATTGATTTCATTTTTTCATTAAATTTTGGGGGTTGAGTTAGAAATAAAGCATCTGCGTCGTTCACGAAGGAATGCAGTTGTTAACCCAAAATATTAAGTTACATGGAAAAACAATAGAAAATGAGTACTTTAGGGAGGCAAAGGGGTGAGAAAAGAAGGGACCAGTCAGAGAAAATAACAGCATTTGTGGGAAAGTATCAGAGTTTAATGGAAGAATAATTCTCTTCAAACACATTCTTGACGTCTCCATGCTTCCAAATCATGTCACTGCCCTCGAGATTCCAAACTCAGAGTTCACCCAGTCTGTGCCCAGATTTAACTCCAGAACCACATCAGCTTGTAGAATTCAGTACGCACAGTAGTCGTTATTCCACCACTCAGAGATGGGTACTGCTGTCTCCGTTGTTCTCCTCCTGGCTGCATCTGGTGTCTTTCTCGGGCTGTGCTGAGCCTCAAATAGAAGAATTCCAAGAACCACCAGGACCAAGCCACCCAATGTGATCCTGGTAAGATTCTCCACTGTGTGACCTTGGAGATGTGAGCCTGGGTGAGTTCAGACACAGAGGTCACAGTGCCGTCCAGAATCCATGTTCCACACAGGGCACTTACCCCCACTAGACAAGGCTTCACTGTCTGCAGCCAGCTCTGTATCTGCTGTCCTTACTCACCTGTTTTGGGGTCTGACATGTTTGGTGATGAGCTGGTGGTCTCAACCGTTCGTAAGAACCATAAAATAGGAAGAGAATAAATAAAGTGGCTAAGAGAATAGGTCATTGACTATTTCCTGGATTCCTTCTCTCTGTAATGTATGTTATTCTGATCATGATGGTTTGGGATGAACTACTTAACTGTTGGCTAAGGGTTCTTTCCATAAACTCATCTTGCCTTCATATACATCACTGGGCTTATGCCACCCACTGTGGACTGAGCCATCCCACATCAATCATTAATCAAGAAAATGGCCTACAGACAAATTCGATGGTGACATCTTTTCAAGTCATGTTCCCTCTCTCTAGATGACTCCAGCTTGTTTCAATAGACAAAAAACTAATCACCACAGAATGCATTATAAATATATATATATAAATTATATATATTATATAAAATAATATATTTCGTATATGTTGTATTTGTCATATATTTATCGTATATCTTATATAATATGCATTTTATATATTTTATGTTATATGAAATGTAAATTTATATATTGTCAAAACTAAGATAAATAAATAAAAACATTTAACAAACTGTTTCTACATTTGGGGACGGAGAGATACATTTGAGGATACATTTGGCTCAGTGGATAAGAGTACTCAGTGCTCTGGCAGAGGACCTGAGTTCAGTTCCCAGCACCCATGTAGGGGTTCACAAGTGCCTGTAACTCTACATTCTGGAGAACTCAATGCCTCTGGCTTCTGTGGGCACGTTAGTCATGAGCACATACTCTCTCCACATATATACACACAATTAAAAGTACAACAATCTTAATTTTTTCCACATTTTAGAATCTATGTAGAAGGACACACAATAACAGCCAACTGGACAATATTAAGCAAGTGAACAAAAATAGTAAGCATGAATGTTTTCACATGTAAACATACGATGTTTATTATAGGTGAGCATGCAAGTGGTTTTATCATGGAAGATGTGCACATACATATATACACGTAAGACAAGAATGTTTGGGTACAAATAAGACGTTAAGATGAAATTTTCAAACTTATTTTGGCTGATGCACATGTCCTCAGTAAATCACAACAGAATGAAGAACTGCGGTGTGTCAAGAGGGAGGTTTCCTGGACAGTCCTGAGGGAGGGTTAGGTGAGGACTAAGAGGTTGTTTGTGACAAACACTTGCCAGCAGCCATTCTGCACAGCAGCTGCCTCCACTTCTCAAAGTGTCCATCTCCAGTTTAGTAGCACAGAACGAACAGAATTGGAAAGACCTCTTTGGGGTGTGACAATCATTTACAACCCAATCACAAAGGACTTCCCACTAATGGGACAAATATTCAAAAAACTGCCCAGAGACATATACAGCACTGAAACCCCAAGTCATGAAAGAATGCCCAAATTGTGGCCATCCTTTGAGGGAACAAAGCCCAGAATTGTGAACAGAACATGTACACAAACCTCTGAAAATCTATGCAGAGGTGTGAAAAAAAAAGAGTCTTCACAAGCACATAAGTATCTCTGCCCCTCCCAACATCCCCCCCCCCCCCCAGTCTACATTTCAACATACTGTCACTATTCCTAAGGACTGGATACTCAGGGATAACAGCCTGGTATCCAGAGCATGCTGGAGAGTGATGTACAGATGGGGGCTTGGTACTCTGTTCTCAACCCCACCCACCTGCTCCTCCCCAGTCTGAGCCCTAGCTTCTCTATCTGGATGTTCCCTTCTGCATCCCACCCTCTAAGTCTCTGGGATGCTGCAGATACTGCTGGGATCTCAGCTTGGCCTCTGGGTCCTTGGACACAAACTGAGTTGACAGAGGAACCAGACAGATGTCCTAAGGGTTGGTAGACAGCCTGCAGATGGAGCAAACTCACAAGAGAGAAGTCAGTGACACTCACCAGATGTTGGAATGGGCTCTTGGGATGAGGAATCTGGGTCTTCAAAGGATCCTGGGAAAGAAAACAAGCGGAGTCTGAAGGAGAGAGGCTGGTTCTGGAGACTTCATGTCCCATTGTCTACTTACATCTGCCTTGAAGCTACATAAGACTCTCCTGCTGTCCGCTTAGAACTTTCTGAATTTCAATAAAGAGGTGAGATGGGAAATCTCTGAAGGACTGATGCTAGGTTCTACAACTTGGGGTGGTGAATCCCCATGGGGTCCACCCTACCTATTTCCCCTCATGTTCTAGCTAAGCGCTCTTCCCAGGGTAGGATCATGAGTTACCCTTTTAGCATGGAGAGGCCAAAAACCGCTTACCTGAGACTACAAGCTCCACAGGGTAACTAGGGTATGACGATAAGTAGGGCAATGTGTCTTCAGAGCCGTAGCACTTGTAGATGCCCCCATCGATAAAGGTCACATTGCTTTTGATGAATTTTGCCTGGTATAACCCAGCTTGCAACACTGATCTTAAAGTCAGAAGTGGGTGTGCAGTCCCCTCTTTAGACAGAAGGAAACTGTCCATTTGATGCCTTGATTGACACAGCAGGGTTACATTCTCTCCAGAAGACACTCTGGGGCCTGGGTACACTGAGAGGGTCGGTGTGACCAAAAGCTGACCTGAAGAGAAGAGGGATGGATGAGGGGTGCCTCACCTTCATCTGAGATGATCCTTCATCAGCACTAGTCTCTAAGGACTTGGGTCTCACTGAGTCAACTTCTTCTCTGCAACTCTACCACACCCCTCAATTTGACCTTCACAACCTGGACTTCCACAGCCCATACTCTCTAATGGGGGTCTCTGATTGGACTGGCTAGGCTCCCAACTTGTGATCAGGGTATCCAGAATGTCTCTGGGGTATAGTCCCTCAGAAGAGAGTCTGTGTATACCACGTCATCTTTACTTGCCCAACAGGAGACACTCATGGGGCTCAAGGAGAAAGTCAGCCCAAGGGCCCATTTGGGGTTGTAGGCCAGGGTGCCAGGAGAGGTCACTTCCTCCTTCCCTTCCCTGGACAGAGCAAATCTATTGAAGCTGATATCAAAGAAACACTGATGGGCTAGTGCCTCACCAGGGGCCAGAATAGGGCCATCCTGGGTCAGGATGATGGACAGCCTTGTCCTTCCTTCCTGGACAGCCTTGGAAGGAAGAGAGATGATTCCTATAATATTTCTGCCCCTTCCCATTATGGCCTGTAGGTACCACTTCCTTAACATTCTAAACCTCTAGTTCAAGAGCTAGGAGCTTCTTTCAGCACCTTCCTGCGTGGGATTCCTTAGGGTCCAGAGCCCATGGATCTCAAAAGATGACTAGACAGTTGCTGGGGCTACCTCACCTGTGATGTGTATTTCTAGGGAGTCACTGGGCTTCGACCACACATAGGTACTATTCTTGTAGCCATAACATCTAATCGTTCCTCTATGAATGACTTTCACAGGACTTATATGGAAAAGAGCCTGGAACTTCCCAGTAGAGTTTATATGCTGTGAGTCCTGGGGCATGGAGAACTTCTCATTTTCCTTGGTCAGAATAAAATTGTCATATCTCTCCCGTGAGGCACATTGGAGGATCATGTTCTCTCCTGAAGTAACCAGAAGGCTTGTCAGGGCTGATAGTGTGGGTTTTGTGGAGAAATACCCTAGGCAGAAGAAAGTAACAAGTTACATGGGCTCACACAGCCCACATTGTCCCTCAGGATTGAGATGTGGGAGCTAAACACTCTTAAGAACAGACAGACCCCTGTCCTGAATGTAGAAACTTAGGCTTGAACCCTTACCTGTCACCACCAGCTCCAGGGTATCACTCTTCTCTGCCCAATTAGGAGGCTTGTGACACAAACAGACATATTGCCCGGCATGGGACTGTTTAATAAGTGGGATGAGGAATTTAGCCTTGTTTCCAGGCTTGATCAGCGTCATTCTGTGCACAGAAACTAGGTTTCCCTGATGGTAAAGATAGTAATCCTGAACATCTGAGGTTCCCTCACATATGATGGTCACCTGAGATCCTTTGGCAACCACAGATCCTGGCTCAGCCCTGATGGCAGGCTTTGGAAGTATTGCTGCAAGGAAATCAATAGCTATGCCAATAGACATCAAGTTTTAGATTCCAACACTCTGCCCCAGAATCCTTTGCAGTTTCACAGCATCAACCCACATCTGCTATTCTCCATGCCCACTGCCCAGAGATGCTCCCCTGTTTTCAGTCAGGACCCGAGGCACCCGAGGACACACTTACATGCAGCTGTTAGGTTCCTGAGGCCCAGAGTCAGTCCTGGAAGAGAGTTCCCTGTGAGAGATTTGTCTCTGAGGCTGGAGTGCACCCTCCCTTCCACAGCTGCCTTCTGGGTTCCTGAGATGTCTTGATAGAACAATGCCAGGCTGCAGGGTAAAGCACCCCCACCCCAGACCAGCAGTAGAATGTTCTCTCCCCTTCTTCACATCTCACCAAGGCAGACAAAAGCCGTGAGTGTTCCAGTCATGGCATCTCCTCCTGTGTTTGCACCCTTGTAGACGGTTGGTGACAATGCCGAGCCAGATGAGAAGACACACACGCTGTGGCCTTTTATGGTGGGTTCTCTCTCTTATCACAATGCTGTCATTTCAGTGGCCTCACAGGAAGAGGAACTGCCTCTCCAGTCAACTGTCTTTGGTTTCTCCAGTCATGTGCCACAAGAAGGATCTGGATTCAGTATATTTTTAGAGAAAGAGTCTCATGAAGCCCATGCAGTTCTCAAACTCATGATCCTCATCCTCAGTCTCCTGGGATTATAGGTCAGTGATGAGCTAGTCTTTCCTTAAAGAAGCAGCAATCTCACAGAATCTCCCTATATCTGTCTAAATTATTTTTATGTCATCAATGGCCAGAACTTAGCAATAAACTAACTTTCTAGCTGAGAGTGTGTGTGGCTGGCCATTCTTTCTCAAAGCCTCCCCACTGGATCCCCTTCACCTTTTGAGCAAGACCATCTTCACAGAACTTCCTTCAGGTGACTTGTGGCCTCAACAGATGGCATCCCATCTGCCTTCTCTGATGCCAACACACCAGAAATTCAGCCACAATAGATGCAACACATCCCTAGTGAGAAAGCAGCTCCTCAGAAACCTCATTCCACGTTTATCCCCCAGTCATTGCTTCATGGACATCTCATTCCTGGTTGATTATTCATGAATTATAGTCACTTAAGACATAGCTGGATGAAATCTGCTGGTTAATCCTGCAATTGTAGTTTTCCACTAGTGTCCAACCAGCTGCTCATGATGGGAAGAGAGAGTCTCCCTATTGAGACTCAGTCCTGGTGTTGGGCAGGATCTGTGTACCTAGGTCTTCAAGTTGGGCTTTTTTGGTGTTTGTGTGACTCTTCCCTTGGTAGCACACACTCAGTACTTTGTGTGTGTTGGCTGTTTAGGACAGTGAGTGATTTCCTGTTCATTTCCCAGTGGGTGCAGATTTCAGATGCTTTTGATGTAAATCATGAGAAGTCTCTGTGGTTGTAGGCCTTGTAAGGTATTGGTATCGGCTTCTTTGCCCACGACAACTTCGTGAACACTCCTCGGTTGTCTGTGACTTAAAAAAATCTACCTTTCTTGGAACCACAGTAGACATCACCTGGAAATGAGGTGGAGAGGCTCATGACCCTTCTCTAGTAGATTAAGGCTTTTCCATTCTCATGATGTATTTCTGGCATTCACTAATGGCTCAGATGATAAGTTCATTTGAGTGCTTTTTAAAGATTAAATATGTTTTCATATACTGTACTTCTTTTTTATACTTCATCATATTTTATTTTTTACACAACTTTATTATATGGAACTTGAAAAAAAACACATATCAAAATTCATCATACTAGAACTCTGTCCATCATAATGTACTCCATACAATTAGGATAGCTCTGTGTTTCATAGTGTAGTGTTCCTGTTCATGTAATTGAGTGGGGTGAATCATGGGAAGGTCATATGGAAAGAAGTCCTGGATGGGAGACAACGGAGAAATTCAGGCCCTGTACATGCTGCCGAAGTCCTCAAGAGTTCAGATGTGCATCAGTCCTCTTTTGTCAGGAAGACACTGTTTCTTGGAGTCATCCATCACCTGTGCTGTTATAACCTTTCAAATTTGTCTTCTACCCAAAGCTCTGAGCCTTGGTGGGAGAGATCTAATGAACACATCCCATTTAAGATTAAGTGTCCTAAAATCTCACTGTCTGTGCTCATTGTCAAGTTCAGGACTTTGTGTTAATTCTCATCTATTCCAAGAATAGGCTTTTTGGATGTGGACTGAGCAAGATACTGATTCTTTATAATGCAGGGATCCATGGCACTGGCTTTGTGGAGCAGCCTTGAGAGGCATGTGCCATAGATTCTTCAGGTTAGAGTCTGTGGCTCCTGGGGATCCAATGTGCCTTCCCTCAGAAACGCAATGTGTTTCTCTGTATGTTCCCTTAGCAGCCTAGGAAGCATGGAAACTTGACAGGACAATTGGTCTGAGACACTAATCTTTTGTACCCTGTGTGACTTGCAGCTACAACTGTTGTCTATTGTACTTCTAGTGACTCTAATACACTCATTATTTTCCTTGTAAAAGTTCCCTGTGGATTTTCTAATTATATGATTAAGCTCTTTGTAAAGACTTTTTTTTTTTTACAATATCCTTAATAGGTACAGCTCTTTAACTGAATTGTGACGTGCACCACTATACTACCATTATCATCTTTATATCTTCATGCCCTTGCCTAGGGCAACGTGGAGTATACATGTGAAACCAAAAATACTGACACCTCCAAATTTCTGGGGTAAATATGTCATTTTATGCAACAGAAGAAGATTTTTGACAGATTCTTTGTAAATCCACTTGCAGTGAATGAACACTGGTCCTAGTTTTAACATTTATGAAGACATCTTGACTTTCCATCAAATACTCTTCTCCATCTATTCTAGCAAACATGTTTCCCATTTACTTCTTGTCTTGGAAAATATCAGATTGATGTTTGAAATTTTTAAACCAACCTCGATTCATAGAATGAACCCGTGTTGATCATATCTGTCGTTCCTCTTGCATAACAGGGTATGGTACCTGCCAAATATTTAGTCCAGGGCATTATCTATAATGTCTTCTGAGGTTCTGAGCTGTCCTGGTCCTCTCATGAAAAGAGATACTGAGGTTCTGGTTGAAACCCAAGTAAGCCTGGAAAAGATTCATCTACTATTTTATTTTTATTATTATTATATTTATTTATTTATTTGTTTGTTTGTTTATTTATTTATTTATTTATTTATTTATTTATTTATTTATGTTGGTTTTTTTTTTTTTGAGACAGGGTTTCTCTGTGTTTTTTTGGTGCTTATCCTGGCTCTCACTGCTTAGACCAAGCTGGCCTAGAACTCGCAGACATCCGACCAGCTCTGCCTACGGAGTGCTGGCATTAAAGGCATGTGTGCATCATCGCCGACCAGCTATTTCATCTACTGTTTTGTGAAAGTTTGTTAAGGGAAATGAGCCCACTCCAGGCAGCCCTGCTGGTTCCTGACATACAGCCCCTGCCACATTGTTACCAAGGCAAGGCCATGAGTTGCACCTCCATTGGCCTACAACCTCCTCAGACCAAGCCAACCACTTCCTCTGTAGATGTGTGGCCATGCCTCTCCTTCCCTCAGGCACCAGAGACATAGTGCTCCTCAGGCCCCAGGGGTCCCATCAGCTACTGCCACAGGCCACCCACCCTCACCCAGTCACAGCAGCCCTCTAGGCTGCTGACAAAAGACTTCACTGTGGCTTACAGCTGTTAACAGCAGCCCCTGTTTATCCCTCCTCTGCTCTGAAACCAGATTGCTGTCCTTTTCAGAGTTCCTCTCCCAAACTGCTTTCCTCCCCCAGCCCCTCCAACTCTCCTTAACAACCCTTGACGCAAACAAATCCACCAGCCACCTCCCACTCTGCTGCAGCCCCCTACCTCTGTCCTTTCCCAGTCCATCCCCAGCTCTTGGCCACTGTCTCTATGCCAGCCAGTCTCTGCTGTCAAGGGCAGGCACAACTACCTCCTGCCACTTTCTCAGTTTAATCATTTCCTGTGCTGAAACTCCTCCTGCAGCTCACACAAACACTGCATCCCAGAGTCTCTTAAGTCTTAACTCTGTCCAACACTTTGAAAATTTCAACAACATTTCATTTTCCACCCTCTCTCCTCCTTAAACTGTCTCCAACAGACCAGCAGACTCCTCACTGGATTCTCTCCAAAGAGCCCCCCAGCCCAATGCTGCCCGCCCCCTCCTGTCCCCAAACCCAATTCCCCACTCCTGCTCTGTCCACACTTGCTCAGCCTACACTGTTACTCTGTTCCAGCCACCGAGTCCTCCTCCTCTCTTCCTAAAGCCAAGTTCTCCACAATTGATTTATATTTTGCATTTCCCCCTGACAATCGCTCCCAGGATACTCCTGCATCCCTCCTCTTCCTTTCTTCAAAAATCCCCAAACCTCTCATGCCCTCTGCCTCCTTCTCTAGTCCATCCCACTGTATGGGGTATCATCTCTCATTCTTTTGCTGCATATCATGAACCCCTCTCTATTAAATTCAAAAACCCTCTGCCTACACCTCCAAACCCCAATACTCCCTCCCCTTAACCAGCCTATACCTGGGCCACAAACTCATCACTTCTATGCCACACTTCTCCAACCGATAATACTCCCCTAGTAACAGTGAAAAAATTTCAAAGGAACCTTCCACCAAGTCCAGGATCTTCACTTCATTAACTGTTGTCCCTTTACACCCTTAAGTCTCTTAACTCATAGGTTATCCTCTTTATTTTCCATGACAACATCACTCACTTTTCACTCTGAAATCTTAGACACTTTCTTTTCAATACTCCTGGACGTCAACTCCCAAGACTATTTTGCCTTCACATAGGGGGTCCCTGATTCTCAGCAA